AAAAAAAAAAAAAAAAAAAAAAAAAAAAAAAAAAAAAAAAAAAAAAAAAAAAAAAAAAAAAAAAGAATTAGATAGCAATGGACCCCTTTCTCTAGAAAACTATACATGCAAATATAGACACAAAATTTTGCATATGACTTCAGGGAGTCTATAAACACAAAGTTCATCTTTGACTCTCCAGTTAAGAACCTCTGTTCTAGCCAGGCGCAGAGGCTCATGCCTGTAATCCCAGCATTTTGGGAGGCCAAGGTGGGCTGATCCACAAGGTCAGGAGGTCAAGGCCACCCTGGTCAACCTGGTGAAACCCCGTCTCTACTAAAAATACAAAAATTAGCTGGGCATGCCGGCATGTGCCTGTAGTCCCAGCTACTCAGGAGGCTGAGGCAGGAGAATTGCTTGAACCCGGGAGGCAGAGGCTGCAGTAAGCCAAGATCACACCACTGCACTCCAGCCTAGGTGACAGAGTGAGACTCCACCTCAAAAAACAAAAGAACCTCTGTTCCTCTGTTCTGTCCACTGATTTTAAGAGGACAGAATTCCTTAGAATGATTAGGATACTAGAGGTATAAAATAGACACATTAGAAGCTATGTTGTTTTTAAGCCTTAAGAAATTTAAAATGTTGGCATGATGTTGGAGGAATGAGATATGAAGTTTCAAGCTTACTTACCAAAGCCTACAGTTTTAAGCTTCAATGCTTTTTGTTTTAACTATTTTGATGGATTTTTCCAAAATATATTACATGCTTCCCTGCCTTCTAAAAAAGAGTTCATTGAACGTAAGTGAACATTTTCTAGATGACTTGGGGCTACTGTTGATAATATTAATTGTTATATGGATTCTGATTTAGTGATATTTTCAGGGCTGCTTAAGGGTGTGTGCAGCTGTTTACTCCAGCTAAATGCATTTACTCCCCAGCTAAATGCCTTGGACTGCTGTGCTTTCTGTGTCCTATGTTTGCTTTATACAGTTTTTCTCTATCCTTTGTGGTAAGGCTATGACCTTAAATTTCTTGTGATGTCTGTGAACCATAATATAACATCTTACTCCCATCCATCACCCACCTCTATTTTTTACAGCAATGTACTATGAGTGAGGATGCAGGTACTGTGTTTATTTAAATTATGCCTAAGATTAAAGGACTTTGAATGAAAATGTCAGGAGTTTCTCCTGTGAATAAAATACCTGGGCTTTGCATTCTCTGTTTGGTTCTTGAGCAAATGTTTTGCTTGCTTCCAATTTTCCTGCTGTTTTCTAGATAGCCAAGACTGCTAGTTAAGTAGTCTTTTGCTACACTTACTATGTGACTTTGGTGTGAGAAAGATTACCTCCCAGATGTTCTGTAACATAAACCTAAATCATTGAGTCTTTCACTCTGTCTTCCTATTATACAGTAGTATTGTGAATCAAGTACTTCTGCTATTTAGTATCGAATAAAATGGTCCATTCCCAATTTACTAGAAAATGAGTTAGTAGCATTTTCTCTGTTTTAAGGCTGTTTCTTCAATAAGTTGTTAAAATTTTTGTGGCCCACTTAGGTATGTGCTAACAGGCAATAGTAAGCAACTAATCAGTAGAGTTAAATTAATATGTAGCAAATGAATATTATCAGACACTCAGCCATCAGTCATGATTACCTTGAGAGATTTTTATGGACTTGTGTACTTATTATTACAATTTTATATTGCTATACTATAACTTAGTCATCTTCTACAAGTAAAAGTTCTCTTAGTTATATGCGGAGATCAAACTAGTTATTGATGTTCCAGCCTCATTATGTCTCATTCAGCCTCATCTTTTGCAGTGTCCATATGTAGTTTCACCAGACTACTTTACGCGGTTCCTTTACATCTTTTACATGCTCTTTTACATTCATGCTTTTGCATGTGTACCTAAAAATAGCTACCTAAAAATTCCTTTCTTTTCTTTACCTGTGTAATCTGTTGTCCTTTAAATCTTAGATCAAGTGTCAGCTCTTTATGGAAGCCATTGTAGGCCTCCGGCCACTTGAATGTAGCTATTCCTTTACTGTGTATCTTTAGCCACCTGGCATACTGTGTGGTCATTACTTTTGTCCCCCCTAGTCTTTAAGATCCTCAGTGGTAAGGACCATATTATTACTAGTGGCATAAAGGCATTTAGTAAGTATTCTTCAAAGAACACCGTGTCTTCCATATATGCCGTCATATGAATTACATTAAGAACCACTTATCTTTCTAAAATTTCTGCCAGGCATACTAATTCATCTTTGAAATTCTATTCTATAGAATTTGATTAGATATTGCCTACTTTGGGGATATCTATTAACACATATACTTACACACAATTTTCATGTGACATTAAGTGCCCTAGCTTATATAACCAGCCCGACCCTAGCTCACATAGCCAATATGCATTGTAAAAGAAATGTCCATGATGTTTTAAACATAAATCCTCAGTATACTGAGGTTGACATGGTTTTCGCCTACCTGTATTTTCACATAGAGGGCTCTGCAGCTTTTTTTTCCGAATAGCTAAAGAACAAAATACATCATTGATTCAATCAGGCATTTATTTAACAGGTATTTTATTGAGTGCCTACTATGTACCAGACACTGTTCAAGGCTCTGGAAAGAAAAGTAGCAAAACGTACCAATATCCCTGCCCTTATAGATCTTTGCTAAGAGACAATAAACAATAAAAAAGAAAATTATATGTTGGATTATTATAAATGAGATTAACAAAAACGAAGCAAGGAACAGAAAATGATGGGTTCAGTGAGGTGAGTTAAAATATTAAAAAGTCTAGCCAGGGAAGGCTTCACTGAGAAAGTGACATTTGAGCCAAGACCTAAACCTAAAGGTGCAGGGAGTGAACCATGTGGATATTTAGGATAAAAGTGTCACAGAAATAGCTAGCAGCACCCAGAACAAAGGCCTTGAAATAGAAGCATGCCAGGAGTGTTAAAGAGATATGAGAAAGCTCTTGTGGCTGGAAAAAAAATGAAGAAGAAGGTACATCATAAGAACTAAAATCAAAAAGATAATGGAAGTGCTAGATATTATAGGACCTTGTGAGCTTTTACTTTGAGTAAAATGGAAAGACATCAGAGAGGTTTAAGCAGAGGAGTGACATTGTTTAACTTATGTCTTAATAGGATAACTTAGGTCTATGGAGTGTTAATATGGAGAATGAAGGATGGGGGCAAGGAGAACAATTAAAAGATTATTAAAATATTCTAGAGGAGAGAAGAGAATGGCTTGGTCTGTTGGTAGCAGTAGAAATGATAAAAGTGGATCACATTCTGGATCTATTTTAAAGATAGTACTCAGAGGATTAGACACCGGAAGTGAGAGAAAAAGGCAAGTTAAGGATAATTCCAAGGATTTGGGCTTGAGTTGCCCTTTTAAAATAGAT